CGGAGCGGGCCGGGCGCGGGAGGCCGGGGCCCAGGATGTACGTCCAGGAACTGGCACTGTTCATGCCGCGTCCCAGCGCTCTCGGGGGGCGTGGGGCGGGGCGGGGGGACGAGGGCCGTGCCCGCCTCGGCGGAGGCAAGCAAGGCTGCGGACTGGCTCATCGCGGGTCACCGTTCTTGGCATGTCGCATCTCGTTTGCACATTTCACTTTGAAGACGCGACAGACTCTGTCGGACAGGGCCCGGGTTGGTCGCCCCCTTCCCGTCCGTCTGTCTCGAGTTGCCACCCGAAGGATGGCAAGGCGTGTCTCGCTCGCCTGTTTCCTCTCTGGTTCTCTGACTTTTAGGATATCCCCACCCACCCCACACACACACACACACACACTTTCTCCCCCTCAGTATGTACTTTGTTTATTAGCCAGGACCCAAGACTAAGTTATTTACACGTCCATTGTAAATGCAATGTAAATGAGAGTTCTGATAAAGATATTTTTGTATTTTGTAATATCAAAGGAATTTCTATATCGTAGGACCCAGTGGAGATCTGCATGCATATCCAGCGTTGTCTTTGAGTAGTATCCAAAAGTGGTCCAGGACCCCCTTTATTCCTTTTCCTTTTTTTCTATACGAATTTGTTACGTGTCAGTGAGACCTTTTTCAAAGACGTTCATTCCATTTGGCTTTTGGTGATTGACGAAAAGAAACTAATCATTAGGCCCAAAGCTTTTTATGCGCCAGTCCTTCTTAAGACGCCATCCTTAAGTCCACTCCCACCCTCAGTAGAGTTTATTATCTACAAAGTGATAGTATTTTTTTTTTTATATTGCACCTTTTGCCAATTAGAAAAACCGACCAGTGTCAGTAGAGTTCCGTGAGAAATGCCATCCCTGCTGGGAATGTTGCAGTTGCTTACTGTGGATCCAGTCCTTGGGGAACATACAAGTGACCGTGAGTGGTGCCCTTGTGTGGTGTCAGCATGATGTTTGTTTTGAGTGTGGCATTGTTTTCTGGTGCTCAGATGTCCTGGACTGTATTATCTGCTTTCCTTTACCGAGGCAGACAGAATCACTGCCTTAGCCTGACAACCAGTTGTCCTTGGTGCAAATGAACTGAAGCTTTAGGAATTTCGGGACGGAAAGGTTCTGGGGGGCCCTGGGAATGACACCATGTTCTCTATTGCGTGTCCCATGTGGAAGAGCAAAAAAGGGCAACTTGAACATAGGAAGCAGTTCGAGAGTAGAGACAGAAGGGGGATTAAAAGGTCAGTCATGGCAAAGAATTTTGAGAAGTGAAGTCCAGGGGAGGTTACAACTGCTTGGAAGAGCCCCAGTGTTTATAGAAAGAATATGGTTTAAAGCCGCCATCACCATAGTATCTGGGTGATGCAAGTAGGTTGAGCTGCTCAGGAGATTACAGTGCAATGGCCTTGAAAAACAAATTTTGTTGAAAGAGAGATTTCCATTTTGAACTTGGGAACTGTTGGTCAGATAGAAAACGGGCTCCAAAGTGAGTTTGCTTAAAGACATTTACCGGTTGTGTTTATAGTGAAAACATAAACAAAAAAAAAAACAAAAAAAAACAAAAAAAAACCAAAAAAAGCAAAAAAAAAAAATCCCAAAAACCTTTTTAGCTTGCTTCAGTTTAAAATGAAGCCTTTGCTTCTTCTTCCATTCTCTTCCTCCCTTAATGAATTGTGGCAGTTGAAATAATCCATCAGAGGACCTATCTTTAGTGAGGTGTACTGTCGCTGTGTACACAGTGTATTTCAGTGGCCTTCTGCCCTAGTGAGGTGAGCGTGGTCTCTTTTCAGTATAGTAGTTAATATTTTCTAGTGTTTTTTTATGGAAAGAATGTGAAAGGTGGCTTTTCAGACGCCATCCCAAATGGGTCTGGGGAAATGAAGGCTTTAAAGGACATGGAAATCGTACTCCATTCAGGATGTATTAAACTAATTTGCTTTTCAGGTATTAATATGACATTTGTCATTGTCACTGATTTTTTTAAAAAGCAATGCAAATGTTGGTTGTGGCTGTTTTCCGCATGCTATCTTCATATCTAAATGCTTCATTAATTATTCGAGCCTCTGGAGAATTAACTCTATTATGTTTGTATAGTAAGTTTGTAAACTGCTTGGCAAACTGATTAAGAAATAATGTGCAACACCACGCTACCAAAGTGGTAGGTTTCTGGTAGATAATGGGAGAGTCCAATTTGAAGTTTGGAGTTCCTTGCCTGATATGAATAAAAAGCAATTTGGAAAAAGTGAAAGGGGCGAGGAGGTAGATGACTCAGTATAGCTGAAAAAAATCTCTGTCCTCAGTGGCCTGGAATCTAGTGAAAGAAATTCTCCTAGTAAATGTTGCTTTTCTAACTGTCCTTTCAGAGTACCACTTATATTTCCCAGATGAGGCTTTAACCACCGGCAGGAAAAGGAAGGTGGCCTAGAATTGGACACATAACCAGTATTCACAAGGATCTAGAGGAATGAACAACTTCAGAGTGAGCTGTTGAGAGAGTATCTGGCAGCTAAGCTGGTCAGTGCATGAGAAAAGGAGACCCTAGACTTAGGGTCAAATTATCCACAAGCAAAAATGGCCTCCATCTATTGCCCTATTGCGTGTCTTCTTCCAACCCCACTCCACCTGTCGCCAGCCACCCTACAGAGAAATGCTGAATGGATGAGGGATGAATCTTTCCATCTATGAGGGATGCTCTGAGTGAATATACCTGAAAGAAGACAGGATGCGTTGTACCAGGAGTTCTTCCATTAGTAATAATTTACACTTCCAGAATTCCATTCCTCCAATGTGTTCTTCTCAAAGGAAAGAACTCAGGAACTTACCTGATTCCTCCATTAATAAAATAAATTCTTCTGGTCTATATTTTGCCTGTGAATGGGGTTTGTGTCTCAACTCTTTTTGGATTATTATTTCATCACTTATGTGCTGTTTTTCAGAATTACCTTCCCCCAGCTCCCTCTCGTTACTAATCCCCTGTTTGTTTTCTACCTTTCTTCAGGGTGATCGTTTTGTCTTTTGATCAAAACCATAACTTTGGAGCTCCATTCATCTCCTATTGCTCCCCAATTCAATAGCCACAGAGCTGCCTCTTGTATAGGTAGAAGTTTTTGACAGTTTCCTGAATAGCCCTCCAAACACATACCATCTCTGATAATGAAAACAGTCTTCCTAGCGGCCTTGTGGTATTCATCATAGGATTCAGGAGCCCTTTCTTCTGCTATATTATTCTGGGATCTCTACCAAAAATGAAGCTGAAAAAAAATCAGATCCCTAATTGTTGGTTTTGCAAATATTCATAGGTAGAGAATCCATTTTATTGTTTGATATTTTCCTTGTTCATCTTTTATTCTCTGGTTCTTTTCACCTTTAATAAAACCAATGCATAAACAAGATTTTATTCCTAATATGGGGCCAAAGACAGCTTTTTTTCATCCTCTGTTCCCATTCTGTACGATGCTCCAACAATGCAAAGAAGTGATATTCCTTCCTCTGAAGCAGCTTTCTACTCTTTGGGTACCAGTAGCCATTGTTGAGTAAAGGTCAAGTTGTCAGTGTTGGCGTGTTTATAGCATGTGCTCTTTCACTCCTGAAATTTGGGTAGATCTAACCAGTGTATCGCTCTAAACTTTCCCAGAAAAACGGATATAGCCTCAGAAATCTTTGTAATCCTCTAACTAGCTAACACCAGTTAATTAGAATTGATCTTATTAGTTTGCTAACAAATCTTTCTGTGAACTGATCCTTACTCATCTTATCGTCCTGGACTTTTTCCTACTGGCCAGAACAGTACAGTAGTCATTTAGGAGGCATCACTTCATAATTGTGGGACTTATAATTCCTGTGCCCCCAGATTACAGATGCCAAAGGTGGATGACCTTTTTAGGTGAAACAATGAGAAATATCTTTGGTCTAATTTTCCATTTTATGTTGTTTGCCAGTTATTTAGGCAGCCTTTTGTTCACCATTTTGCAGGGGTCAGATAAAATTCTCTTCTTTATATAATCCTCTAACAAGAAATAATACAAATATTTAAATTCCAAGGAGAAGTGCTCTTGGTGTATATCTGCCTAACAGAAACCAGATGCTAACACACAAAGATTTATGACATTGGAAAAATGGAACCAGTTCCCTGAATATTTCATGCCAGAAGTGTTGCCTTTAACCACTGGTTAGCATCTTCAGTGCTTTGAAATAGATTTCTGGGGACAGAATTCTAGGTGTGGCACTCAGTCAAGCCTTCTCTGAAAATTTTGAAGACAGTTTCAAATTGCACCATTTGAGGTACAGTTCTTAAAGCACAAAAGAAGTCGGAATGAAGGGAGCTTGGCCTTGCCTCCTGAGTGGCTGGTCCCTCTGGGACGTCATTAGACACTGAGCTTTTTCGGATGACCATTTCAGAGGAGTCATCAAGGTAATCATGACAGGATTGAAATCTTCTCAGTAGTCACCCAGTCAACCACAAGACTCCCATAAAACATGACTCACTCTTGAGAGCTATACTATTTCGTAAGTTTACTTCCTTTTGCAATACTCCATTTCCCCAAGGGTAATAAAAAGGGGAGGAGGAAGTCATGCGGCATTGAAAAAGCATTTCTGTGACTGAGATACAATAAATCTGTAGGATAGGAAAAAAATGTTCTCTATCCTGAAAGTTTACTGCACCATCCTTTCAACCCTCCTGGGCGTTTGACGATTGATATTCAAGAGATCACTGACCAAACTTCCCTAGATTTTTGAGAGAAAATGTCCACCATCAAAGTCTATTCTCAAACCTATCTTGTTGATTTCCTTGTTTTCCCCTCAAGTGTTTTGAGTCTATTCACAAATTCTGACAACATTCTAAGGCCTATGATTCCTCTTAACAAATCAGTACTTTGGCAATTTTCCCTCTCCTAAGACAATCTTTCCCACACGGGATTACTTTGCCCATCTCCCACTAAATTTGTAAGTGCATAAACAAAATCTCAAAGGACCCAGGAAG